GGCTGCCGTGCTGGTGTCCATCTGATAGCTTAGCACGATGATTGATTTTTGCTAAAAGAAAAGTGTGTGATAACTGGTTCTCCCCTTTTTGCAAACCAATGGCTTTCATTCATTTAACCTGGGAGATTACGATCATTTTCGAGACAAGTTTCCAAGAAGTTCGGAATAAAATTGATACAAATACAATGCCCCTAGAACTTCTAGCTCTCATAGCACAAATATGTGCAAGTTCATTAGCTTCTCTTCCAACGGTCAACCAGCTGGAAGCTATCAAAACATTTACCGATTTCATCAACTTCATGAAGGATGCTAGTAGTTTTTTTATCTCCCCTCCTTTTTGTTTCCAGATATTGACAACTTCTTGAGTCACATGCTAACCCCTCCTTTTCAGGGTTTCAATAATTACGTTTCAGAGTCACATGCTAACCCACTACCATCCCTCACAATAAAAGCTTCCATCATCAAATGATTTGATGCATGCTCATAACAAAAAGCTTAAGCCCAAACTAACGCTTCGTTGTGTCCTCGCACCCCAGCTCCCGTGGTCCATGATGTCATAGAGAAGATTTAGACTACTCAAAACTTGATCAACATGAACCTCCATAAAACCTCAGCCGTCGAAGACCAATGAGCAACTTGTTTTGGTCAGAAGCATCGTCTTCTCCTTGATTATGATGGAGAGATCAATGGTCACATACACGGTGTACTTAACAACATTGGAAATGGCTGGCCCTCTTTCACCATGCTATATAGCATTCCTAGGTATCCAAACCGACCATGAACCACACTAAGCCTTCTCTATGTTCATAGGGATAAAAATTGTTGTTAATCTCTCCACATCCCATCTTCTTGATATTGGGTCAATAAGATCTTCTGCCATCACCGCATTCACATTAGGGAGTCGGACAGTTGGTTTGAAACCAGGATTATCAGGGGTTCAATCGCTCCCCCAAACTCTCGTAGAGTTGCCGTCCCTGACTCTCTAAATCACACCATGGCAAAGGGCCTCACGGCCAATTAAAATAGCTCGCCAAGTATGCGATGAGTTCCTTCCCTTCGTAGCCGATACGAAATCAGTACCATAGAGGTACTTCCCCTTTAAAACTTCGTTCATACAAGGAATTCAACCACGCTACTAGTCTCCAAGCTTGTTTTACCAACATGGCCTTGTTAAACATTTCCAGATATTTAAACCCCATATCCCTCTCTGTGTGGGTATAGCCAAATCAGACCACTTCTTCCGGTGCATTTTCCTCCTATCATCATTTTCCTCCCCCACCAATCCCCTGCAATGATGTTGGTGATTTTCTTGCACATATTTTTGATAAACAGGAGCAACTCATGGAATAAGTGCGAATTTCCGGTTGTTGTCGAGGAAGCCCCGAAAGTCAACACCGGATGTTCCATGATCTCAACGCCAATTCTATTGAGCATTGTAATACATAATAATAATAATAATAATAAGCTAATGTGCCAACTCGCCAGGGTCGCGATGATCGACCGTCAATGTTGTTGGAGTCCACGTGGTTTCATCTTTAGTTTTTTTAGCAGACGGTGTAAGTGTGATTTCAAGTGATAAAGCTTTGCCATAAAGGGCTTCCTGTTAAAAAAAAAAGAAGAACAAAACAAATCAGAAGCAAAAAAAGAAATGCCCTCACGCAGGATCGAACTACGGACCTTCAGTTTACAAGACTGACGCTCTACCACTGAGCTATAAGGGCTTTGATGGTATTTCTTTGGATTAACGCTTTATATAAGCCAGAAAAACCGAACGCAAGCACAAACCCACCAAATAACTGAACCTCTAGTGACACGCGCCTACAACATGCATGTGTCCATGTATACTGCAGAGAAACATCAACTGGAATTTGGATCCGAAATTTGCACCACAGAAACCAACTTTGATTTGCAAGCACCCAGCCAAAAATTCTCATGATCATCTTTGTTAGACCAAAAACCATTTACAAAAAGAGTCACTCGTATATCATGATCCACCTCATTGATCAATATACACATTACACATGTCCGATGATGCATCAGTATTATCATCACAGCCAGCAGCAAAGCTGATCCGATCCACGCATCACTTGGCGTTCCATGTCTGCGCTCTCTTCTTGGCCAGGAACATGACCATGCGCGGGAAGAAGGGCTTCTTCTGCCCCGCCTCGTCCGCCGCCGCCATCGCCGCCGCGTCCGCCCGCGGCATGTACCCGGCCCGAGGGCTCAGGATGTGCGGGTTCCCGCCGCGCCCGTCGCCGCCCTCCAGCGTCGAGATCTCCGCCAGCCCCGCGCGGGGCGGCGACGCCGTCTCGCTGCCCGCGCGCCGCCGCAGCTCCGCCTGCAGCGCCCGCTCCGCCGCCACCTTCGCCGACTCCGCCTGCTCGCACTCCTCCGTCGCCGCCCGCAGCGTCTGCCTCCGCAGCTCCGTGTCCCGCCCCAGCTTCGCCAGCTTCTGCTGGCCCCGCGCCTCCGCCTCCTGGGCCTCCTTCACCTGCCTCAGCGCCTCCGCCACCCGCTCGCCGCCCGCCTCCTCCGTCCCCCGCGCCCGCCGGCTCAGCTCCTCGTACTCCTCCGTGCTCAACGCCACGCAGTCTTCGGGGACTTGGGCCTGCTGCAGCGCGTCCGCCGAGGCCGCGGCGGCCTCCGCCGACGCCTTCGCGGCGAGGGCCTCCCGCAGCACGGCCTCCAGCCGCGCCTCCGTGGCCTGGACCGCGGCCCTGGTCACGCGCGCGTCTTCCCTGGCCGCGGCGACTTCCTCCTGCGTCGCCCGCGCGATCGCCTTGGCTCGCTCCGCCTCTCGCCGTGCCTCGTCTAGCTGCTCGGGCGTCGCCTTCTTCTTCGCCTCGTCCCTCTCCCTCGCTCTTGCCTGCGCCGCGGCCAGCTCGGAGGTCACCCGCCTCAGCTCCTCCTCCAGCGACGGGATGGACGCGGACGACGACGTGCTCTGCTTCTGCCGTAGCGCGGCGAGCTCCGCCTTCTCCTTCTCCAGGTCCGCGCGCAGCGACGCGGCGGCGACGTGCAGGATCTTGCCCTCGTCCTTGGCCTTCCCGACGCTCGCCATCGCCTCCTCGAGCTCCTTCTTCGCCTTGTCCACCATCGCCGGCGTGCTGCTCGCCGCCGACGTCTGCTTATCCTCCTCCTCCTCCTCGCTGGCCCCTTGGACCGCGCGCGCGAACAGCTCGGCTCTGAGGGTGGCGAGATGCTCGGACGCGGCGGCCACCTGGGACTCGAGGTCGCCGGCCGCGGCCAGGTCATCCCTCACCCTCCGCACCTCCTTCTCGGCTTCCTCCAGCTGGTTCTGCCACCGCACCTTGTCCTCCCGCCACGCCAGCGCCAGCCTCATCCTCTTCTCCTCCGCCGCGTCGTGGGCGGCGCGCGCGGACTCGAGCTCGGCCCTGAGCACCTCGAACTCCCCGGCGGCCTCCCGCAGGGCCTCGCCGGCCCGGACCGCCTCGCCAGCAGTGTCCCTCACCCTCGCCGCCGCGGCGCTGGCCTCCTCCGCGACGGCTTCCCGCTCCTTCCTGAGCGCGTCCATCTCGGCCCTGGCCGCGCGCAGGTCGGCGAGCGCGGTGGCGTGGCGGCCCCGGACGGAGTCGAGCTCGGTTTTCGCCGCCGCGCGCTCCCGGGCGCTCTTCTCCAGCTTGCGCAGGCGGAGCTTGGCGAGCTCCGAGTCCTTGCGCGCCTGCGCCTCGGCGATCTGCGCGCGCTTGACGGTGAGCCAGAGGTCGTCGATCTCGCCGGTGGCGCCCATGAGGTCCTGCTGCGCGTCCGCCCTGCCGGCGTCCGCCTCCCGGATCCGGCGCTGGTACTCGGCGGCCTCCGCGTGCACCACGCCCAGCTCCTGCTCGGCCTGCTGCCGCCGCTGCACGAGCGAACCAAACCACAGCAAACCGTGAGACCGAGCGACCGACCGACAGAGGACGGGTGACAGAAGCGCGGACGACAGGGGGAGGGACCTCTCGCCAGTCGAGGATGCCGCCGAACTTGGAGACGGCGCCGCGGACGGGGTCGGCGTCATCGACGTGCACCTTGCCGTCGATGACGCGGACGAAGCGCTCGGCGATGTCGGAGGCAGTGTAGGCGCCGTCGGCGTCGTCGTCGTCCTCCTGGCGGTGCGTGTCGAAGAAGTCGGCGTCCTCGGAGCTGGCGCGGGAGACGGAGGCCGGGTGGCCGCCGCTGGCCCCTTCCATGCTAGAGCTAGCCTCCTCCATCCCGCAGCATAGGTGTAGGACGCGGAAGAGGCACCTCCTGGCCGCGCCCACGCTCCCAGGCTCCTGCAGCAATGCCAAGCCCGAGCTTGATTGGAGCAATCCATGGAGACGGGGGGAGAGAAAGCCACGTTGGTTACCTGGGTTGTTGGCTTGATCGTTCCTATTAAGCTGTCGGCGGCGGGGAGGGGAGCGGCGCGTCGACGAGGCGGGGGAGGAGGGATAGGC